ACAGCCCTCACCAAGGCAGCAGCTAGAAAACAATGCTGAAGTTTGAAAGGCATCTCCTTAGGTACTGTGGGAAGCCTAAAGTCTCTCTTGCTGGTTCCTGAAGGATAGCGTTTCTGTCCTGCAGCTGACTGGAAGGATTTCCTAACATCGTCTTGTCAGTGCCCAGCCAGAATGCATTCTGAATACTAGGTTACCATCTTCCATTTAAAAGTGAATGGGGACAGGAATGTTATGACCATGTATCTCTCTTTGGGATGCAGACTATGCATTTCATTATATGTGATGTTGGACTATATAATTGATTTTGGAAAACTACAGATGGTTTCTTGAAAGAATGCTGGTTTCCTGGTGGTTGCTGGCCACTTAGAACTCTTGCTTTCTTCTAACAATTACCTTTTAATGCAGCTCTGCAGAGCATTTCGTTATGAAGTCATCACATACATATACTTTAACGTGTCTGGGTTTTGCAAGTGGAAAATTCTATGCACTGCATGCAACACATTCAGCAGTTGAATTATGTTGCTATAAAAGCATTATTGTACACAGTCCTTAATTGCCAGAACTTAAATGTAAAACTTTGAGTAGCTCCTCTGTATGCTGCTGTTTAATCCAATGCTTCCTATCATTATGGCTGAAAATCAAGCAAATTATCACTGTGTTTCTAGCCCAGATGTCAGAGCTTTTCTTCAGATGGATAACCCAAAACACCAGTCGGATCCATCTGAAGATGAAGATGAAAGGAGCAGTCGGAAGGTAACAACAGAAGTAGAACAGTCTTCTAAATTTTAGCTATTTAAGAGCAATCTTAGGTATATTATATACTGAAAATTACTGGTTGGTTTCACAGTAAGTCTCCTCCATGCTCTTTTAAACAAATCTGTTCCACTGTGGGCTGTAAGATACTCTCCTGTCGTATGTGAACCGCAGAGAATGGGTAAAAGAGATTGTGAGCTTTGTCTTGTTTCCCTACGTGCTATATGGGTTAAGGAAACACAGCTTTAATCATAGCTTAGCTGTGGCAGTTTTTGCAATCTCTTCAAAGATTCTTGCTAAGAATATCTGGCAAGGAGCAGGGGAGCTTAAATGTTTAATTGTCTTTTTGTTTGCTTGGGTGTGTTGGGTTTTTTTAAGAGGGGGAGAAATATGATTCAGGGGAAAAAATGCAGTCTTCCCAAAAGTCACTCAGGAGCAAGGATGGGCTTGATTTCATTTCACGTGTAACACCGTGTGAGGTCTGACTCCTCTTCCGTCACAAATTCTGACTCTGTATGTACTGGTAGGATTCATGTCATCTGTGGAACTGAGTTAACTTTTAGTGTCAGGATAGAACAGGTTGGTAATACCTTTCTTGGGGTGGGGAGAATGTTCACTTTTTGTTCTTTTTAAAAGCACCATATCTTTCACTAGTTACTCCTGCATAAACAGTGTGTGTGGGTTTTATTGCTAAGATTTTGGAAAAATTAGAAAAAAAGGTAGAAAATATATTCCTAGAGCAATACAGAAATGGTTAAGTTCTGGATGAGGAACAAAGTGTTGAAATGATTGTAAATTTTTACTTCAGTCTTGTTCTCTGTGTCTGGATACAGTTACTGTATTACCTTCATCCTTGAATGTGATGTGCGTAGAAATAATTTGTGACAAGGTGATGATGGCCAGATATTTCAATTTACAAGGTTCCCAATGTGGATATTAGATCTCCTTAACGAGTATAAAGTATGGGTTGAGCAAATTAGTGGACTGTTCTGAAATTAATATTGGTTTAAATATAAAAGATAACTTAAAAAAATACATTAAAAACATATCTCTCTGTTTCTCCCACAGAATATCAACTCTACCTCACAGAATATCAACTTGGGACCATCTGGAAATCCTCAGTAGGTTTCCATTCAATTGAATTAAAACATAATTCAATCCAATGTAAAATTTTTATTTCAGTGACATTTATTGAATTTAATTTTAAACCCAGCAAAGTTAGACTGAGTGGAACTGTTAATAGTAATGAAAGTTCTTTGGGCATATGCCTTTATTTGTTGATTTGCACTGCTCAGGAGGAAGCAAAACACTAACTCCTCTGCTAAATAAGTGAGCATTTTTACAACTTTCTTTTTCAACTTCAGATTTTTAGTCTGCTATCCTTCTACTTCAAGATGCTATAGCAAAGATGACTTCTCTGTCTTGGGAGTGGTCCAAAAACTGTTAAGAATGTGAACAGTTGCTGAAAACAAGTTTGGTTTAATGTATGGCAAAGGAGCAGCTTGCCTTGTTACTAGTTACTGCAGTTATAACTTGCTTCTCTGATGTCTTTCTCTGATGAGTTTCTGTTCTCAGTTCTGTGTGAATCTGTGCTTTTCTCATCTAGGAGATGACTGCTATTTTGGTTTTACTTTCGTCATAGATTTGTTCTGGGCTAATAGGAGGAAATGCTTACTAGATTGCAGTAAGAAATGAAATTTAAGAGTACTTCCCTTCAGGGGAAATAAATGGAGAGATGTATGGTGATGTAACCGTTGGTTTGGAATTTGAAAACATGGATAATTGTTTTGCTGACAAAAATATGTCTGAATTGTATTTACAAAAAAGGGAACCCTGGGAAGAAATGAAAGGAGTGATGATGTGGGAAGTGGAAAAACTGAGAGTGAATTACTCCTCAGGACCTCCCTCCTCTTGCTGTGATTAAAAATGAGGAAGGAATAGATGGAGGGAAGGAAGGAATAAGCAAAGAGAGAATAAATAACAAACCTGGTCCCTCCTTCCTTCCCTTATGTAAGCTTATGCCATTAGGATATGAGAAATAAGCCCTAGGAAAAGTCATGGGGAAATGGAGACTTAAAAATTATAAGAAACTAGTCTGCGGATAATAAAAGAACAGTCTTGCTGCTCCTTTACATCTTAACCTTAAACTTACAAAAGAAACTCAAAAGGATATAACTTGAGCATTTTCCCTGGAGGAAAATGGAATTGCAGCGTGAAGAGGAGTCATTGTCTCTGAGGGATGGTCTGCAGAAGTCTGGGTGTTGGGTGGGATGAATCATAGAATCATAGAATAGTTAGGGTTGGAAAGGACCTTAAGATCATCTAGTTCCAAGCCCCCTGCCATGAGCAGGGACACCACACACTAAACCATGTCGCCCAAGGCTCTGTCCAACCTGGCCTTGAACACCACCAGGGTTGGAGCATTCACAAGTTCCTTGGGTGCTAACAGAGCATTGTTCTCACATTACAACTCAAGTGCTACACTAGACTTTTGTCCACCTATAAAGCTTGTAATTTCAGATTGCCTGTCTTTGTTCCTAAATATCTTGCAGTGCTAAGCCAACAGACTTTGATTTCCTGAAAGTTATTGGGAAAGGCAGCTTTGGCAAGGTGAGTTTTTCTTACTATTGTGTCTTATCCTGGTGCAAGGATGCTAGGTGGTGTCTTGTGCATAATGACTGCTGGCTAGAGACTTGGCTAGAGGTTTTGGAAGTGGTATCAGTCTGTTGTATTTGATCCCTGTTGTTGTTCTTTTAAAGCCCTGGCATTTTTTACCTGGTGTGGCAGTTGGCTGCCTCGGTCGCTTGTTGGGAGTAGCAGATGGGAGTGTTTCCCTTTCTCATTAAGAGGAATAGGGATCCTCTCCCCCAGAGAGGAAGGGAGGTACCCCTGTGCTTATGCAGCAGCTGGAGTTTGAATCGTGCATTTCCCTGTGTTGGCATGGGCTGTTTTGTCAAACCCCTGATGCAGTGGAGCAGTGTGAGCAACAGGCCATTGAAAAGTGAGTTAATTACTGATTTTCTACAAAGAGGCAACAGAGAATCCCTCTCAAAATCTTTGCTTACAAGTTATTTTTTAAGTTGTTGTTTTTCGTGAAATTATTTTTAAAACTTATAAAAACAGCTGAAATTGATCTTGATAGAAATTCAGCAAGTCATGGAAAATAAATGTTATCATTCAATCTGTCATGATACCATTATCAAGACAGGTTTTTACTGAACTCTAAGCTCACTTTGTTGGTGATTATATTGCTGATTGACTGTATTAGAGGCAAAGAAAGTGTGTTGTGGAAAAACTAGCATGAATACTTTCCAGTTAGCTGAACTTGTGGAATTATTACTAATAGAATGTAAACTGCTAACAACAATCACGTTTCTTCATTTGTTCTGAATTTCACAGGTTCTTCTTGCAAAACGAAAACTGGATGGGAAATACTATGCTGTCAAAGTGCTGCAGAAAAAAATTGTGCTTAATAGGAAAGAGGTGAAATGTTCTTTCTCCACTTACCTCCCTTTTTCCTTTAGTTACAAAATTATTCCTGTTTACTTACTGATCTTTTACTTCCTTACAGCAAAAACATATTATGGCTGAACGTAATGTGCTTTTGAAAAATGTGAAACACCCATTTTTGGTTGGATTACATTACTCATTCCAAACAACGGAAAAGCTTTACTTTGTCCTGGATTTTGTTAATGGAGGAGAGGTATGTGGTAGTTGTGTTTGGGTTTGAGTCTCTCTACTCTAATTCTAGGTGGGAGGGATGGAATGATCCTTTACAATGAGTGTTCCCTCTCCAAATCCTATTATCATCTGCTGTTACTACAGACTTCTGTAGCTATACGGACCCTGTTCCTCTTCTTGTCCACAACTCTAATCCCAAATTTATTCATGATTGTCAGATACAAATACTGTATTTTACAGGTAAATAAATTTACCTTTATTACAAATTAATCTTATGTTGACATTTTTCACCATGTAAATCTATCTTTTCTTTTGCATCTGCATTAGCTGACATGCTAGTATTTTGAAAGTGGAAGGAAAGAAATTGTCAAGTGAATTTACTACACTGGTATTACTGGGAACTTCGGGATTATTCTGTAGCTTTGCATGGTCTAATTGCTTACTACCAAATAGCCTTAACGTCAGGATTCTTTTCCTTGAAGCAGTGCCATTACGTAACTCGGGGAAAACTTGTGAAAGAAATTGAGAAGTGTAAATATGTTTAAATAAGATGTTCTGGAGCAGCTTGGGATCTGTTGCTTTTCAGAGTATCCAGTACTTCCAGGAGTGCTCAAGAAACTTATGTATAAACTGGTTGAATAGCCAGTGCACATGAGAGGGTATAAAATGTTCCTCCCATTCCTTCAAAAGGTTTTGAGGGTTTTATAGACTATTAATACCTGGACCTATCTAGGAAATCAGTTGTCACTGAAGAAAACATCATAATGAAAAAAAATTGTATGAACAGAACTAGGCAACATACATGCTTTAAAGAAAAGCTGTGTGTCTTGTCACTTGCTGTGTTTTCAATTTTGCTAATTTACTGGTGTAAAACGTATACACTTCAGGAGGTCTTAGAGGTGCTTCAAGCAGAACAGGAAAGGATGAGACAGGATACTGTTGTAGATGATAAAACTGGTAGCTGGAAGAGCACAGGGGGAAGGGGTAGAATTTATATTGCTTGTTTTGGCATATCTCAAGGCTTCCTGTTGCATTGGTGCAGCTGGATATACAGAGACAAATGTTCAGTATGCTGAATAAACCAGGATGAGATACGAACTGTATTAGTTCATATTGATGATGGCCTGCCATCAGTACTTACGATGCTCCTAGAGCTGCTGTACTGACCCCTTTAAGTGTCAGAGCTGGGACAAGATGGGCCTTCTCTTGCCTCATGGACTGTCATCTTACTTCAACTGTATTAGCAAGCTCCTGGTTTGCTCTACTGTGAGCTCCTGCCTACAATTTAGTTTGGCATTCTTCCAGGCAAACTAAAATACAGTGCAAAACAGCTTTCAAATTTGAATGAAGTGTTCAGAAAGCTCTGAGGGCTTTTTTCCATTTTTTTCCCCAAACTTTGTAGGCGGAAAACAGAAAACTTCTGTTTTCTCAAAATCTTGAGAAGATGAATGGGTTGTATAGTTTAATCTGTATGATTATGATTAATCTTTGGCTAGACTCCCATATCTGCTCAAACTATTGGAAGCCAGACAGCTCTGTGTAGTTAGGAGAGTTTGAGGATCAGCTGTCAGCTTGGAATAATGTACATCTCCCAAACTGATGGACATCTAGGTGATTATGAAATACGATTCTATAAATACTTACATACAAAAATTTGAAGGCAGGCAGATAGAGAACTGGAAGATTACTGATCTGACACACCAGGTTATGTTCTGTTAGGAGGCGATCTTGCGTGATTGAATCTTGCCAAATTTTACTCACAGCCTAGTGGTTTACTCTAGTTCCTTTTGAGTAGTCCTGGGTTTAGAGGAATGTCCTTAAGTGTTTGAATTATCTGTTCATTTCTGAGAAGAAAGGAAGGGAGTAAAGGAGTGACAAAGTCATGCAGCAAAACCAGTTTTATTTCACTTAAAGAAAGTGGACAGGTAAATAAAATCATGTTTTATTATTAAAATTACATGCTATTAACCTGGTTTTTTTACACTGTTCTTATTTACTCTGTGCGTATTTACAGCTGTTCTTTCACTTACAAAGAGAACGTTCCTTTCCTGAGCACAGAGCCAGATTTTATGCTGCTGAAATAGCCAGTGCACTGGGCTACTTACACTCCATAAATATAGTGTACAGGTAAGTTCCTGAACTGTATCCTTGTCCTGCAGAAGTTCAAAATAGCACAAATTTCTGAGTAAAAACCACTGTATGAAATCATCTTACGGGAAACTCGAACTTAACAGTTTCACCAAAACTTGAAGCTTTCAGCTGAAGAATGAAAATACTTGCCTCCGAGGCTCTTGTGTTAGTGACTGCTGCTTTGAATTAATATGCTTGTTTTGCTTTGTTTTGTTTTAACAGGGATTTAAAACCAGAAAACATTCTCCTAGATGCACTAGTAAGTACGCAACATTATTTTGGTTTTATGTGTTCTCTCGCAAAACTGACAATGTGTGTTCACGTGTTGAGCAGGTTCCGTTTTTAAAATACCACTCTTTCTTAAACAGGGTCATGTGGTGTTGACAGACTTTGGACTTTGTAAAGAAGGGATTGCAAGTTCAGATACCACTGCAACTTTCTGTGGAACACCAGAAGTATGTTGACAACTTTCGTGGGTTTTTCAGCTAGTAATTAATGACTGTTAAGTATTATTAGTATTTGTGTAACTGGAAGATCAAACACTCTGTACTGTTGGAGGTTTGCATTCTTCTAACAAGCTCTTCCATGAAGCCAAACCAAAGACAAGCTTCCTGCAGATGCGTTTTTTGTCCTTTTTACTCCTACCTACTACCCACATCCCCATAACCCATCTCTTCCTTCCTCCCTTTTTTCAACCCCCTTCAAACACTGTTTCCCTCCCATGTCTCGTAACCACTGGCTAGACACAGGGCAGTTAACTTGTGTAACAGCTGCAGCGGATTTTCCAGTGTGAATCTACTTACCATATCCTGCCACTGACTTCTAGTAAGCTTATAGGGACTTGATATCTGTCTTGAGCAAATTTTGCTGACCAAGTTTATTGAACTCTCTTGTCTTCTTACTGAGAAAAGTACACTAGAAAACTTAGAATCTGGAAGTCTTCAACACATGCGAGGGATTCACTGAAATGCCACTGTTAGTGGCTTTGATAATTTGGTAAACATACTTGAAATTACAGCAAAGGCCTTTGAAGGCAGTGGAAGATGAGTGAGGAGTAATATTTAGCTAAAACATTTGAACTAAAAAAAACAGGCAGTTGGCAACATATGATAATTAATCCTGGTTCTGATCAGAGTAGAAATCCATAAAGCTGAGTGGTAAATGTGAGCTGAAGCAATATTTGTTGACTATTTTGGAAAGTTCAAAGGTCAGTGCATAGAACACAGGTAACTCTGGATCTGTTTTAGAAAATCTGAGGGTTTTTTCTCATGTTCAGAGGCTTAGTCTTCACATTTACCTTGGACTTGCATGCATTGCAACATAAAAGGATGATAATGCTGTTGGTTTATATGCATTCTTAAAAATATCAAGACTAAACATAGCAGTTGTGTATTAATCTTTATAATCTGAGATTTAGATTCGAGTCTTTCATAATCCTGCCAGAAGTGTAATGATCTTCCCAGTATTTAGAAACACTCAGTCAAATGACATGGTGAGTTCCAACACCTGAAAAGCTCAAAAGAGGTTGTGAAAGGTTAGCAAAAGCTGAAGTAGTTGAGTTCAAAATACTTCAGCTGCTTTTCATGCTTTTACAGAGTCATCTATAGACAAATGAGTTACAGGGCACTCACACATGCAGAAAGCTTGAGAAATACTGAGTTTCAGTCTCTGCCTTATCTGACAATGCTATTATCTATTTCTAAATTAAGTTTCAGAATGTGGATACTAAAATGATAGAAGTGAGCATCCTCTTGTTTTGAGAGGTTAGAAATTGTGTGTGCTGTAGATGAGGACTGAGATCATAAAATCATGGAATCATGGGATGGTTAGGTTTGGAAAGGACCTTAAGATCATCTAATTCCAACCCTCCTGCCATGAGAAGAGATGCCTCACACTAGACTGTGTCACCCATGACTCTGTCCATCCTGGCCTTGAACACTGCCAGGGATGGAGCATTTACCACTTCTTTGGGCAACCCATTCCAGTGCCTCAGCACCCTCACTGTGAAGAACTTATATCTGACCTGAACTTCCCTTGTTTAAGTTTTAACCCATCACTCCTTGTCCTGTCACTACAGTCCCCAATGAAGAGTCCCTCCCCAACATCCTTATAGGCCCCCTTCAGATACTGGAAGGCTGCTATGAGATCTCCGCGCAGTCTTCTCTTCTCCAGGCTGAACAGCCCCAACTTTCTCAGCCTGTCTTCATCCGGGAGGTGATCCAGCCCTCTTATTCTCCTCGTGGCCCTCCTCTGGACTTGCTCCAACAGCTCCATGTCCTTCTCTCTGGCGTATCAACCGAGCCACACAGCTTGGTGTCATCGTCAAACTTGCTGAGGGCGCCTCAATCCCACTGTTCATGTCACTGACAAAGATGCTGAACAAGACAGGTCGCAACACCGATCCCTGAGGGACACCACTCGTTACTGTTTTCCAACTGGACATTGAGCCGTTGACCACAACTCTTTGCGTGCGGCCATCCAGCCAGTTCTTTATGCTCTGAGTGGTCCATCTATCAAATCTACGTCTCTCCAGTTTAGAGACAAGGATGTTGTGTAGCACCTCACAACTTATGCCCTCATTGACATTTACAGTGAAATTTAATATAGGTCATACAATTTTTCAGTAATTGATAGATTTGAGGCAGAATTAATATCTTCTCCTTTCATTTTTATGTATTGGATGGGGAGCATACAGGAAGGCAGCGTATGCATGGCTAGTAGCCAGTGTGCTGAGAAGTGCTGCAACAGTGCAGCAACCTGTCTGAAATGCAGAACAAGTTTCTTAATAGAGGTGGCAAAGTAGTTTGGCAAAACAATAGTGTGTGGGAAGTATTATTTGAGTTGGTAAAACAGCTGTCCTGCTTGGTAAATATCCATATGGTGACAAAGTATTTGCTAGGTTTGTTGAAGGACAAGATAAATACTTAGCAGTCATAAAATTGCTTTGAAGCAACTTTTCCTGAAGGTGTTTAATGTGATTAAAACCGAGGTTTTATTCATGCAGGCCTAACGCTCTAAAAGACTTCTTTATTGATTTTTTTATTTTAGTATCTTGCACCAGAAGTCATTAAAAAGCAGCCCTATGACAACACAGTAGACTGGTGGTGCCTTGGTGCAGTTCTTTATGAAATGCTTTATGGGCTGGTATGTACTTTTTACTGGTGGGCTGGGGTGGGCAAGGGGCTGCTTCCCTCTTCTCTCCTTTTATGTGATGTAACCCTGGCATTAGGTTAAAGATGCTAATTTGAGAAATACTGAAATAATACACTTAAATGGATGAACAGTTACTCTTATACTTGGCATAGCACATGTGTTTCTCTTTTGGATTCTGAGTTGCCTCTTGATGTCTAAAATTTTACTTCCTAGTGAACTGCTTGACATCAACTCAGATGAAGACAAGTAGTCAGAGGGACTACTTGAGGGAATGTGAGAGTAAACTGAATCAGAAGTGATAATACCCAATAAAACACTCTGAAGTGATAAGTAACATTTTGCCAAATCCTGGAATAAATAAAATACTTTTTCTTCACTTAGGTATCCCAGGTTTTCTTCCAGCTTTTCCACTCCTGCTGCAGCATTAGAATTAAAACATCTTACTGTGCTGCTGCTACTCATATGTAATTATTCCAATAACAATCTGTTCTGTTAGTTTTCTGGAGTTTTATCTCCCCCTGCTCCAGGACCTTAAATAGGGAGATAAATTTGGGGTTCTACTCTCAGGTTCTTTTCAGGCAAGTTCAATGGGATCTTTGAAACTGGATGGCATCTGTGGCTTCTTATAAGAACATGTTAGGAGAAAAGGAGGTGGGTGGGGAAGTTATCAAGTGGAAAGGTCTGGCAATGGTGATGACTGAATTAGAAGTTAGCAGTGTACAAGACGAGGTAGATTTCTTCTTCACTGCTAGCAGTTGGTATTTCTTACAGCCTCATTTACTGCATGTGGCTTCAAATTCATGTATAATTTTTATTTTTTATAGCCTCCTTTTTACTGCCGTGATGTTGCTGAGATGTACGAGAATATTCTTCACAAACCCCTAGTTTTGCGCCCAGGAATCAGTCTTACAGCCTGGTCTATCCTGGAAGAACTTCTGGAGAAAGATCGGCAAAGCAGACTTGGAGCAAGGGAAGATTTTGTATGTAATGTCCTAATTTATTAAAGCCTTGCTTCATTTAAGGGGTCGTCACCAAATTTATGTGCACAGCACAGGTTTAATAGCTGGAGATAGAGATTGCTCTGTTATGTCTGTCTTTTTTCCTCCTCTTTATTTCTTCATTAAAGACACCAGTGTGGTCAATCCTTGAAAGCTGTTGGCAGTAAGAGGGAGATGATTGTCATGGGGTATAAATATTTAGAGCTTGGTTGCTGCTGTACCTGCCAGCAAAGGAAACACAATTCCTTATGTAGTAGTTACTAAGGTGTATATCAAGGTAGGTTTCACTGTTTGCAGTGAAACTAGGAAATAATCAAAAGAAAAGGCTGTTCTCTGATAATGTCAGTTTAACTAACTGCATGAAACAGTCTTCAGATAAAGAGGAACACTAGTGGTGTGCCAACAGCAGCTTGTTTTTAGCCTTAAAATCTTGTCAAACGTTTTGCCAGTGTAGCAGAAAAACTTTATTTGCAAGAAGGTGATGTGAGAAAGTACAATGTCTTCAGAACTGCAATGCGGAAACATCTAGAAGCAGTTCATCCGATACTGATGAGATCCTCATAGTCTTCAGTTTGCAGTTTTAACAGTAGGTAGCCTGCCGACCTTGTAACAGAGCATTCAGACTATGACATTGTGCTTTCTCACAGTGTGGACCAAGATGAAAGAGTGGTAGCAGTTAGCATAGCTGTTTGCTGCTCTGTAACTAGTAAGCATATTGCAGAGTTGTTGAAGCAGCTGCTTCTCAGCCAATGATCTGCTTTACAAAAACTAACAGAACTTTACAGCGGGATTAGAGGTACTAACAGAAAATGTTCTTGCTCTGAGGTAGACTTCAGGGTGGTTGATTTTAAGACTTAAAAGCAGAAAATACGATCTTAAAAGGAAATCAGTTTGCAGAGACAGGCTGACAAATTCTAATTGCTGTTTTACCAACTACAGCTTCTATTGCAAAGTAAACTGTGAATAAACAAACTGATGAAGGACTTCCTTATGTACATGCAGTCTGAAGTAGTATTTACTGTGATGCATAGGATGGATTTCTGAAAGTATCTAAAATCTTTATTCCTTACTGCAGCTTGAAATTCAGAAGCACCCGTTCTTTGAATCTCTCAGCTGGACTGATCTTCTTCAGAAGAAGATTCCACCACCATTTAATCCTAATGTGGTAGGTACCATTGCTGGAATTTTAACATTTGAAGTATTATTGATGGAAAAGAGAGAAATAAAATTTGGTGTGGTTTGGGGGTTGCTTTTTGTTTGGCTTCATTTTTGGGGGTAGGAGGTGGGTTAGCTTTTGCATCTCCCTAACAGTCAGTCAAGAAAGAGACATTTCTTTGTATTTCCTAGGTTAATCAGATCATAAAGGTGTGTAAGCTGTGGCCTGAACTCCAGTCTAAAAGAAGCAAATAGGCTTTTAATAGCTGTTTCCTGGGATGCTGTGGTGTGCTTCCTTAAACCTGTACTTAAATAGGCAACAACATAAAGTAGATAGCTTCAAGAGTTAAATTTGAATGGTAAAAGACAAGCACAAGTTTAAAACACAGCATTAATATGACAACTGATAGATATTTCTGTTTTCTAGGTTGGACCAGATGACATTGGGAATTTTGATGCAGTGTTTACAGAAGAAATGGTCCCATACTCAGTCTGCGTTTCTTCCGATTACAACATCGTTAATGCCAGTGTCCTAGAGGCAGATGATGCATTTGTGGGATTTTCTTACGCACCACCTTGTGAGGATATGTTTTCCTAGGAAGTTAGAAGCCATGGTGTTTCGGAAGTCTTGGGGTGAACTGAAATGTTAGGGTTATGGACACATTCCAAAATAGCGTAACTAGTGCCTCGTTTTGTATGTAGGTTTGAAACCTATGAACAAACTTTCTCTGCTGTATAGGAGGAATTTGGGCATTTTGGATGGCTTTCTGTGGGGTTTGAACTCTTTGTTCCTGCTGCAGAAAATATTTTTTAAAACCTTTAAAAAGCATTCTCTACATATATATTTTAAGCAAAAAACACTGACTGTTCTCCTCAGTCCCTTCCAAGTTTACATTCATATGTATCTAAGATTTGGCTGGCACAAACAGCAGCAAATTTAGTAAATTTATAAATGCTTTTGTACCTATTTGTGCTTGAATTGTAACTATGCAAATTGTCTTTTGTATATCCTGGTTTAAGAAAGGTAAATGTTTTCCCTATTATATCAGTTCAAAATATACGTTAATTTACCTGTCAGCACTTAAATGAGGGGTTAATAGAAGTTAAGACCCAGATTCCTAAAGGACTTCTAGAGAATGAAAAGTCGGTCATGTAAAACTGGATTATTGCTCTCACACTTGCTGAAATACCATTCACTCCACTGGATTATCTAAGGTATTGGGGATAACTCAAAGCAAGGATGGAACAAATTAATTGGATTGATCTGATAACATTACTGATCATGTGTTCTACTCTTCTTTCCTCCCTGAGATAAATACATCTGTATTTCAACTACATTAAAAATATTTTTGGTTAAAACTCTGCTTTTTCCAAAGATCTAATATGCAATAATCACTGTTACTTCAAAAGGCTATCTTGCTTTGACCTTTCGGGGGTGGGTGGTGAGGGAACCATGCCAAATACTAGGGATTTTTCTCACGGATTTACAGCTTAAAACACTAATAAGTCCCAAATTGATTGTATTTCAACGGTCATAGCTACTTGTCTTTGTGTTCCAGTTTGCACCATTTTTGAATCTTCACTTGATATTGGGGGAGGGGGGTAATGTAAATTACGCTGATAATTTTAAAAATGTGAAAAGCTGATGTATTTCTCATCACATACACGTGTATGGACAAACTGATAACTCTGAACAATTTCTGTTTAAGGAAATTTTTTTAAACAATGCAAAAATTGACTGCAGTTACATTGTATAAATGCCTATCACAGTAGTAGTTTTATTATATATATTACTTGTAAATAACAACTTATTTTTGTCTGTTACTCCATGTTCTGTGTTTTTTGTTCATAAATATATTCTGTTAAATGCCTTGATTTGGGAGAAGTTTGCTAAGACTCTGATGAGTAAAAGATAAGTTTCGATATCTAAATCATCTCTTTTTTTACAAAGAACTAGCTAAGAGAAATGCTATCCATGTTGCATGAAGGTCAGTTAAAAATAGCGAATGTTGGGGAAAAGAGTGTATCAAATCTTAATTCTTTTGAAATTAATAACAACAGTGAAACATTAGACAAGTGGAAGCTGAAGCAGGATTCTGGGCTTATCTGGAGGAGTATCTCCTATAGAACTAACTTCTGCATAGTGCTGAAGTGATGCTGAGCAGTCGCTACATGAGGTGTTGGAAGGAGTGGTTGGGTAGAAGTAAGAATTTACATAGGCATGGAAGGAAGGACCTGCATTGTTTGTGGGAGTGAAGTAGTGGTTTGGCTCTCATTGACTGTGGTGCTGCTCTGGAATGTTGAGAGGTTTGGAAGTTGCTGTGCAGAGGTTCAGGGCAAGGAGCAACTACATGAATCCTTTCTGTTAGAATCATGAGGAAGCAGCAGCATTACCCTTTTTGAAAAACAAAACAAAAAAAAGCCCCAAACAAACAAAACACAAAACCCCTATGTCTTCTGATGGACTTGAGAGCAGAAACTGATTGTAAGAAGGGAAGAGTCCGTTCTCATACTGAATTTTCACTCTGTATACTGCTGAAATTGTTGTGGGCTACTGTAACTGCCTTATCTTTATGGCAAGGAAGTACAGTGCTGTAGAGAGATGGGAAGGAGAGGGGATCCTTACGAAGTTGTTGCTGGGGAAGGTAGCACCCCTTTTATTTGTCTTGTATTTCCAAGATGTCTGTGCCTAGCTGCCTGACTGTGAGGGGTTTTGGGGGTTTTATCACAAATTTAGGGTTTCTTGCCTTTTTTAAGATGGTGGTGGTAGTTACTTCTAGGAGAGCAGCTTAGTAATAGCTTATTAAGCTTATTCCTTTGCCTTTTTGGTGAACCGTGAACTTGTTTAACATACCACTTGCAACACTTCATTTTGTTTCTCGTACTCTAAGTTCACATTGTGAAATGCCTCCGCCAGCTCGGGGCCTGTGAAGGTAACTGACTGCGTACAACATCAGGCTGCTTTCCCGCCTGGGCCGCGCGGGGCCGCTGCCGCGCGGC